TTTTGGGTCCGTCTTCATTGCCAAGAGCAGCACTCCGGTTGATATTTGTTGAGGAAGTGATATTAATACCGACAGCGATGGCTGGCACAGTAGTCCCTGCTACGTGATGGGCCTGGCTTCCTCCACTCCCTTGACATCCCCTCCCTACCTTGCAAATGTGAGCTGGAGGCACGGAGAGGCAGAGCCAGGATAGGAACCCAAGCACCGTGGCTCCACGGTTTGACCCCTAACCAGCTGGGGGCTGTTGCCGGCCTGTCTCTGGGTCCCTGCGCCAGGTGCTCCCCAGATGTGCTCCTATCTGGGCAGGGGTGTGGGCGGTAGTCAAGGAGACAGAGGTTTTCCCCCCAGGGAACTCACGTGACCTCTCAGAGTGGGACTCCATCTCCCTCCCCTTGGCCACCTGAGTATTTAACTCCTAGGGAATATTATTATCATATTATATTATATACGGTAGTCCTGTATCTCACTGAACCATCTTTCTTTTTAAAGATTTATTTATGTATTTGAGAGCGAGGCGGTGGGAGGGGGGAAGGGGCGGAGGGAGAGGGAGAGAATCCCAAGCAGACTTGGTGCGGACCGCGGAGCCCCACGCGGGGCTGGATCTCACCGCTGGGAGATCCCGACCGACCGGAGCCGACACCAAGAGGGCGGCGCTCCCCCCACTGTGTCCCACAGGCGCCCTTGCACTATCTTATTATAAGCAGATCTGAAACCAGAGTCTCTCCCCCTCCTGAGTGTTCACCCACGAGCAACGAATGCTCATGTCCACACAAACATTTGTACCCCTGTGTTTATAGTCACCTTGTTCACGATCCCCCCAAACCGGCAACAACACAGACGCCGTCCAGCAGGTGAGCACGGCAACGGCGGCCCATCCACACCACGGGACGGCCCTTGGCAATGAGAGGAGATGACCACCGAGACCCACAACAGCGTGGATGCCTCTCGAAGGCGCGACGAGGGTGAAGGAAGCCAGACTCAGGAAGGCACGTCTGTATGGTCCGCCCGGAGGACGGTGGTCCCCACGGACGTGCGCACCCCAATCCCCAGAGCCCGTGACTATGTCACACTGTGGGGAAATGGGATCTCACGGCTGTGATTCTGGTCAGGATTTCAAGGTGGGGAGATTCTTGTGTGGCCCGAAATTTAATCACGAGGGTCCTTCAGAGAAGGAGGGGAGGAGCTGTGATCGCAGAAGCTGTGGTCAGAGCACCGAGTTTGGCAGATGTGAGCAAACCGCTGGCTTTGAGGCAGACCAGGGACCCATGAGCCACGGAATGCAGGTGGCTTCTAGGAGCTTCTAGAAGCTAGAAAGGTGCAGAAGAACCTGATTCTCCCAAGAGCCTCTGGAAGGAATGCAGCCCTGCTGCCACTCAGATCTTAGCTAAAATTGTGCTAAAATTCATAGGACTATACACTCCCCCCTGCACAGACACACAAATCAACTTTGCTCTAAATGACTTTCTTTGAAGAGCTTTTGTTCATATACATGCTCAACGTCCATTAGCCACTATGATAACAGAACAACCTGCTGGTCAGTGTCCCTCCTGGATACCCCAGGGATGTGCCAAGAAGCAACGCCTGCCCATTTGCTGGCCTGCCTTAGATTTGCAGTGTGACCTGAAGCCACTCACAAGCCCTCTCTGGTCTCATTTGAAGAATGAGCAGTGGAGGGTGCCTGGGTGGCTCAGTTGTTAAGTGACTGCTTTTGGCTCGGGTCGTGATCCCAGGGTCCTGGGATTGAGCCCTGCATCAGGCTCCTGGCTCAGCAGGAAACCTGCTTCTCCCTCTCCCACTCCCCCTGCTTGTATTCCCTCTCTCACTGTGTCTCTCTTTGTCAAATAAATAAATAAATCATCTTAAAAAAAATAAGAATGAGCAGTGACAGAGGGATCAGAGACCTCTTTTCCAGGGACATTCCAGCCTGATGCCCGAGGAGAGCTCCCCAACCCTGGAGCTTTAGGTCTTTTTGCCAGAGATGCGGCAAATTGATTCATTCAGCCCACAAATATTTACCCAGAACCTACTCTGCACCCTGTGCTGGGAGATACCAAAGTGAAGCGAAGTGACCAAAAAACCCAATTGTAGTTTGTGTTTGAATGGACAAAAATGAACCGAAAATTGTTTTAATGTGTGTGTACGCCCTGTGTTTTTAAAAGATTTTATTTTTAAGTCATCTCTACACTCAACACGGGGTTCAAACTCACACCCCCGGATCAAGAGACGCAGGCTCCCCTGGACTGAGCCAGCCGGTACCCCCCCAACCCCAAACGTTTTCAATGTGGGATGGTGATAGGGGGCAAATGGAGCAGGTGGGGGATGGGGAGCATCTAGGGAAGGTTGCAGGTTTAGGTCCACAGGGCAGGAAGGGGTAACCAGACCACACCATGTGTGCAAAGGAGATGACGGGGTCCAGGCCTGGGATTCTGGGTTCTGCGTGGGGCTGGAGCTGCTCCCCTTCCTGGGAGCGGCCCCACGCTTCCAGCCGGAATGCAATCCGGGACCGCAGGATCTCTTAGTAGCCCAGCCAGCTGTCCTGCTGACTCATGGCAGCCGCCTGTGGTCAACCTGCCTTTCTCTGGGGAACACTGCCAAGCCTCTCCAAGCCTGAGCCGGGTTCAGCGCACCCCATTCCCCTGACACACGGTGCAGTTCCCCGGAATGGGCTGTTCTCTGTTGCAGGAGTACCTTTCCCTTACCTCCTGAAATTCCGCCTGGAGCCCATCTGGGCAAGCATCAGCATCTCCTCTGGGCACCTCCATCCCAGTGGAATGACTCATGCCTTGGCCGGAGTACAGAGAAACAGGCTCTTTTCACTTGCCTGCTCTTGGCAGGAGAGCAATTAGACTAACCTCTTTGAGAGATCACTTGGCAACATTTTACTCAAGCAGATCACCTCTGCTAAAGCAGGAGACACCCCCTGCGTATGTGCTTGCTTCTTTCGCAGCCCTTTTAACACTTAGTAACTAATTTCTTTGGCTAGTGACTTCTTATGATCAGCCGGCCCCACTCCCAGGCTCTCTAAGAGGGAGGAGAAATTATCCTATCGTGTCCCATCTCCAAGAACCAGTATCTGACATCCCGGGCACTACGCCATCATATCTGTTGGAGGGGCAAAAGGACGTGACCCCTGGAAATTTATGGAATAGATCGGTGGCCTTGAGGGGATGCCCAGTTAAATATATACCAGGATGTTCATTGCAAGATCATTGATAAGCAAGACTTGAAACAACGCAGGGCTGGATAAATCCATCAGGGCCCGACAAATATTGGAATCCAGCCATTCAAAAGGAGGCGTTTATTTCTTGAGAGGGGCGGGGGTCCCATGTATATTTCTTAAAACCCAGCAAACTTCAAATGTGTGCACTACGCTGTAGGTATATATCCTCTTTTCTCTCTCTCTCTCTCTTTTTTAAGATTTTATTTGACAGAGAGAGAGAGCGAGAGAGCACAAGCACAACGGAGTCTGCTTCTCCCTCTCCCTCTGAGCAGAGAGCCCGATGCAGAACTTGATCCCAGGACCCTGGGATCATGACCTGAGCTGAAGGCAGATGCTTAACCGACTGAGCCACCCAGGTGCCCCTAGACATTCTCTATTAAAAGAAAATCCCATAAGCAAATATGGGATTGCTTGCAAGGCAATGTTCTGATGTCTACAGCTTACTTTGGAAACGTATCACAAATAAGTTCACAAATAAGGATGGAAGGACCGATAGAAGGATGCTCAGATACGTGATAAGACATATATATAAGACAAATATAATAAACTATAAAATAAAATAAAACAAGACATATAAAAAATAAAATATATAATAAAAATAAAATACAATAAAAAGACATATATAATACCAATAAAATTGGGAGGTATAGGGAAGTTTGTGGATAATTCTTCCAAGGTTGTTTGTTTTTTTTTTTTAATATGTTTGGATATTTTCACACTGAAAGACTGGAGGGGTAAGGAAGTGGGATTTATTTGGCAAAACGTCCCAGATACTACAAAAGGCTAAACGGTATGAAGTAGTATCTTGATTCTGTTTTCAAAAGAAATGAATAAGAAGAGATACACGAGTGAAGGTTCATTTCTGACAGGCAGGCATTAAGTGATGACTCCAGGGATGGGTCTGGGGTCGTCGTGAGACTAGAATTTTCCATTTCATGACTTCCCTATGTCTTGAATTCTGAACTGTGAGCACAGCGGCCGTGACAGCTTGTGCTCGCCCCTTGCCCGTGGCAGGTGGACCCAGAGACGTCTGGGGGGTGGGGTTAATGTGGGAGTCAGAGGTGGAAGAGCCCAGGCCCCCAAACACGTGGCCACATGACCCCAAACACTTGTGGCTGCAACGGGAGCCCTCAATGAATTTCGACCGCGTTAAGCACCCCAAGTGGGAGGCTGTTGAAGTCTGCCAGACTTTCTTCCAACGGCGCATGCGTCTTTTTCTTTCTTTAGAAAATCTAATTAGGAAAGTAACAAATTCTTGGATCATATCTCTATATCTTTTGATCATCTGCGTTTATTAATGGTCTCTCCCGACAATGCCACTGCCAGCCTTAGGGGATCCCAGTACTACCGGTGTGGAGGCCGAGGAAACTAAGGCCATCCCACCTCAAGTTTAACGTTAGCATGAGGACAGCCCTCTTAGCTTCCCAAGCCATCTCAGGCCCCTGTGACCAAGGGCTGAACTTTCCACTACTTTACTTTAGTTCTAGGGAACCCCACCCTGCTTTAGTTCCAAGAAAAACCGCTATACCTAATCCTGTAAACAGCCCGGCAACAGCTAATCAGCTATCAGCTAATCAGCTCACTGCCCGAAAGTCTGAAATTTTCCCGCTCCGAGCACCGCCCCCCAAGCCAAGCCTCTGGTAACCACACATAAATACCCCTGCCTTAACTAGACTCGGGGTCCAAGTCCCTACTCCGCTGTGTCGGGTATACTTGGGCCCAAGCTTAAGCTTGTTAAATAAACCCTCGTGGGATTGCATCGATGTTGGCTCCTTGGTGGTCTCTCCGACGCGAAAACTTGGGCATAACACCAGTTTGGTGAGTAACTTAACCGCTTGTAGAAGCAAACGCAAACATTCACAGCAGCGAGGGCTCTGATTCCCTCCCTCTCTCCCCCTTCCCCTCTCCTTCTTCTCCACCTCCTTCTCCCTCTCCTCCTCACCCTCCCTCCTCTTCCCCTACCCCCTCTCCCATCTCCACCCCCCTCCCATCTCCTCCCCCTCCTCTCCTTCCTCCTCCTTCTCCTCCCCCTTCACCCCTCTCTCTCCTTCTTCTCTTCCCTCTTCCTCCTCCTCCTTCCTGTTCACCTCCCTCTTCCCCTCCTCCTCCTCCTTCTCTCCCCGTCCTTCTCCCTCTTCTCCTCCTCCCTCTCCCTCCTCTCCCCTCCCTCCTTCTCCCTCTCCCCCTCTTCCTCTCTTCCTTCGAAAAAATATTGATTTCAGACCTTACCCCTTACTCTGCACCTTGCTTATTTTTTTAGGTCAATCGACAGCTCTCTCGTTTTGCTTAAAAATAGCTGCGAGATATCCCACTTCCATCCTTTTTAAAATTATTTTCCTTTTGAAGGAATATATTACTCTTCAGTGAATTTTGACAGAGGCATATCCTCCTGCGATCCCAACTCCTGGCAAGACGTAGAAAAGCCCAGGGCCCTGGAAAGTTCCCTGCTGCCTCCTCCGAATCTGTCCCCTCCTCTGTCTGAGAGGTGATCTCTGTCCCAAGTTTTCCTCAGAAATGGAGTTGTCTGGTCTTGGCCATTCTAGAACTTTTGTCTTACAGAACGTGCTCCAGCGTCTGGCTGTTTTGGCTCAGCGTAACATTCTTGACATTCATGGGTGTTTGTGTGTATATTAGAGTTTTTTTTCCTTTCTGTGGCTGAGTTGAATTCCACTGTGTAAATAAATCACAGGGTGCCTATCCATTTCCCTATTCTAGGCTGTTTCCAGATCAAGTTATTAAAGCTGCTGCCCCCATCCTGGTCTTTGGGAGGCCCTGCATTCTCATTTCCTTGGGCAAATAACCAGGAGTTGGAATTACTCAGGCATTGGGTGGGGGTCATATTATTTGCATTACTGTAACTATGGGTTTTACATCCTGATGGGGTAAAATCCCCTCTCCAGTTTCTTCCTCTCCCTTCCACTTCTAGCACATTTCAAATCCACTCAAACTTTTAAATAACTTAAAAAAACTTTTTTTGAGGGGTGTCTGGGTGGCTCAGTGGGTTAAAGCCTCTGTCTTCAGCTCGGGTCATGATCCCGGGGTCCTGGGATCGGGCCCCACATCAGGCTCTCTGCTCAGCCGGGAGCCTACTTCCCCCTTTCTCTCTCTGCCTGCCTCTCTGCCTACTTGTGGCCTCTGTCTGTCAAATAAATAAATAAATAATCTTAAAAAAGCTTTTTTTTGAGATGTATCACTTTGATATATCACTTTCCTAAAGATAATAGTAATGGAGAAAAATCTAGCTAAAGAAATTAATCACTCTCTTCAAATTCTCAGAATTCTTTGTACTGCAGCCCAGGCTCTGTCCCTCAAGGGCCAGTAGATTCACTGTGCCCCCATTGGCTCGCACAGCCCCCACCTCTCTGAGGCCCCTACCCCAGCATGGCCAGTGTTGTTCTATTCCCATTACAGGTTCTCCCAGTTCCCTGCATACTCTACGCTCCACCGAGCCTCAGAGCTCTGTGTGTGCCTTTAGCCTGAGGCTCTTTGTGATTGTTCTTTCTTTCCTTTTTCTCTAATGCTTCCTCTCTCTCTCTCTTTCCCTTCCAACATGCATTTATTAAGCTCCTACTAGGTACCTTTCCTGGCCCTTGGGTCACTCACAGCCTGGAGCCATGCCGGCCAACAGAACTTTCCAGAATGATGGAAACGACTCAATTCTGCACGCCTCCCCCCCTGGATATTGTGTGGGTCACTGAGCCCTTGAAACGTGGCCAGAGCAAAAGGGGGGCCCTTTCAACAGTATTTGCTTATTACTGATTTCACCATCACCCTGACACTTGATTCCAATGATCAGAAAGCTTTTCAGGCAGGTTGGTTTTGACTCAGGCCCGGGGAAGGACTTTCTTGAGCTGTAACGCCATGAGCCCAGAGGCAGGCTGGATGGAAGGCTGATGGAAGGCTGATGGAAGGCTGCCCTTTCATTGGAGCAAAAGGCCACTCAGTCCCAAAAGCTTTGTGTGCCGAGCATGTAAAAGATTTCATTGATAATTGTTTCTATCAGTTCCGTGTTGAAATGGTAGCATTTCAGATATATTGGGTTAAATAAAATATAGAATTAAAATGATTTTTGCCTGTGTCTCTTGCCATGTTTTTTCTTTCTTTCTTTCTTTCTTTCTTTCTTTTTTTTAATGTGGTCGCGAGAAAATGTTTGCCTCAGAGGGCTCACGCTGTGAGTCTATGGGACTGCGTGGGTCTGGCAGGTGGACAGACCACAGAGGCACTGGTCCCCTCGTGGGGGTGATGCCTGCCAAGGGACAGTCCTTTCCCGAAGTCTGAGGACTCCCGTCTGAGCCCTTTCTCTGGGCGGTTCAGAGCAAGGCCCTGGACCCAAGGATCTCAATCCACTCAAAGCCCTCCAGGAGCCTGAATGCTCAGGAAGGTTCTAATTATCACTATTCTTCACCCTGGCCCCACCCTTCCTGGCACCTGAGTTCCTGGCTCAGGAGGGGGTCACAGGGTTTGGAGAAGGAGGAAGGAAAAAAAACCACGCTCAAACCCTGACTCAGCAGAGAGCCCTGGATCTGGCCCATCCCCCCCAGGCATCACCCACTGTACCCATTTCACAGACGCAGAGCTCCAATGCCCCTGTCTGCCCCGGGGTCCCCGCCAGCGAGCGACCTGGGCAGGATCTTGACTCAGGGCTGCCTGCTCGCGAACTTCACGGCTCCAGCATTCTTGTCGACAGTGGCAAAGCCCTGGTTCCTACCTCTCTCTTGGGGCCTCTGATCCGGGCTTCCCCAGCAACACCAGCATCTCCCTCCTTGCCCTGGCATTCGATGCCTCCAGAGGGGCCGCCAGGAGGCCACTCTCCTTCCCATAGACACTGCCTTCCTTTCCACCCGGCTCCTCGATGTTCCCACGTTCCCAGCCCCGAAAGAGCACGTGCACACATGGAGACACATCTCGCCCTTTGCTCCCCAAGCCCACATCATCATCGGGCAGCTGGGTGGCTTTGAGCATCTCCCAAAGCACCTTATTTACTAGCGGCGGCCCAGAGTCCCCGCCCCTCTCGGCCTGTCCAAATTCCACCCAGGCGGCGAGGTCCAATGTCCTATTATTGGTTTACTGCTTAGAACCTTTTTATTAGCGGCCCCCTTCTCCTTGGGAGAAACAGTTCTGTGACTGGCAGGGATCGAACCAATAAAATCTTAGAGTGGCTCAGCCCTCCCCAGGAAAGGAGGAGGCCAGGACTTTCAAAACCAGGGCCAGAGACCTCAGCCATAAACCGGGCGGAGATCAGAAAGGGCCTTGCAGCAGGTTCTCCAAGATCAGAGGGAGGGAGGGAGGGGTGGCGACAGCAGGTCCAAATGCGAGCTTGGCTTCCTCCAGCCTCGACTCTCTCCAGAAGGGGCTGGTCATGGAGCAGCCCAACATGCTGACACCCCAGGAAACGGGCCGGAGCATGGACTGCCCACCAAGCCTCCCATCAGGCCTGCCAGCGGCTGCCTCCCCCTCCTCCCCTCACTCATCCCCAGACTCCTTTCCCGCCCGCCCATGCCAGCCGGCACGCAAGAGGCCAGGCAGCCTCACTTCAGACCCTGGCGACATCCCACCTGGCAAGCTGTGTGACCTCGGGCAACTCACTCAACCTCTCTGGGCCTCCATCATAAACGGGATGACAAGAGCTAGTCATTGGTGCTCGTTAATCCCAGACAGTTGCTGGGAAGCCCGTAAGAAAGAAAGGACCAGAGGGGATGCAGAACACAACAGTCAGGGTTCTGCCTGCCTCCTGCTGTCCACGTTTTCCTTTTCAAATTTTGATTTTTGCCCTGGAGATCCCCGTTTTGTACACTGGACCCCTACACAGCGGCAGGGAACAGCACAGAACTTATAAAGCGTGATTGATGGCAAAGCCAGCGAACGAGAACGTTCCGAGCCCCGGGTCCCGCTGGTGTCTCTGGGCTCCTCCTCCCCACAACCACGACCCCCATGAAATCCTCTCCCGTGGCGGAGTTCTGTCGCGTGTGCCTGTGTTCTCCAAGCAGTATCTGAGCTTTTCTGGTTTTCCAGGGGAGGGGGGTTGTAAAAAATGGAACCGGGTTGCAGGAGGTGTCATTAAGAGCCACTCACGCGACTGTGGGTACTAATAGTCCCCATGGGAATTTTCCACTGTCCCATTGGTCCCCTCGAATTCACAGTCTGCCTCTCCTCTCCCTTCTCCCTCCCTGCCCTGCCCCTGCTCACCTGCCTTCTGGCCCTGACTCATCCAGCCAGCTTGCCTAACCTCCATTCATTCCTTGACATCATTCTCAGAGACTTGCTAGGGCCCCCGAGGTGGCCCAGCTCTGGCCCTTTCTGTGAACAGTCCACAGTGTGATGCGTGGGGTGAGTCTGAAGCTGGAAGTGTGGTCAGGGAACCCAGCTGCGGTGGCCGAGAATCTGACACCGTCTGAGAAGGGAGTTTGCCACACAGGGAGAGAGGTCATCCCAGGCAAAGGAATGTTCAGATGCGAGTCCCAAAGGTGTGAGATCCCGGCCCCGGTGGGAGTGGAGGCAAGCAGGTGGGGCCCAGGCATTAAGGAAGGTGGGGACTGTGGGAACAGAGAGGAGCTCCCACAGAAGAAGCAGGGTGAGAGGCAGGACCTCAGCCCTAGTCCTCCGTTTTAAACCAGAGCAGCTCCCTCTTGAACTCTGTGATGTATTTCTGCTCCAGAAGTAGATTCCTCTAAAGAGATCTGTATCTTAAAAGGTTTCAGAAGCCATCGCTACGGGTGCTAGGGAGTCACAGAAGAAACTTGAGCTAAGCATGGCCAGAGGTGGATTCAGGAGATTAGAAAAAAAACTCTGGGAATCCCCACAGAGGACGTGAATATGCAAAGGCACTGTGGCAGAGAACAGGGAGGCGTGGCCAAAGATTCTCAGGGGCTGGCATGGATGGAGTACACAGGCAGGAGGCCAGACTCCAGGCAGGACCTGGAGGGCCTTGGGACTGAGGGGGCAGGGAGGGAGAGCTCTGGGAAGGACTGGAGGCAGGGAGACTGGAGTGAGGCTAGGGGGAGGGAGGGAGAGGAGGCCTGGGGGCACACGCAGGGGGAGGGCATGGGGTGGAGAGTCCCAGCACAGGACAGTGGGGCTGGATACTCACAAGCCTCCAGGAGGGAGAGGAGGGGAGGGGCAAGGTCTGGGGGTGACCCGGGGACCCACGGGGCCATCCCCGAGATGGCAACCGGGCAGGAGGGAGGATTCTGGGGAGCCACTCGGGTCCCGCCCCAGCTGGAGATGGGGTGTGTCTGAGTCGCCTGGGAGGGGCCCAGAGGAGATGGTAGGGGCCCTCGTGAGGGGCATCCTCCTGGGTCCTGGGGTTCCAGAAGCTCATGGAGAAGAAAGCTGGAGGTGCCATTAGGACCCGTTAGGGTCCTAACACAGACCTAACACACAGTCAGGTCTGGACGTGTCGACCGGGTGAGGGTTATTTAGCCCCATTCTTCGGATAGAGAAACTGAGGCTCAAGGGGGCACTGAGCAAGAAGGGCTGGGGATTTGCTGGCCCCTGGATGTGGGGGAGCAGGGAGGAGGGAGGCTCCCAGGTGCCCGGGTCAGGGGTGAGGCCCCCCCGAAGTGGGAGCCCGGGAGGGGAGCCCATTGAGCTCTGGAGGGGGAAAAACTGCAGCCCCGAGGCCAGAGGAGCGGGGGATGGGAGGGCTGAGCAGAGGATGCTGGGGCCCCCCCTCCAGCCGGCCTGGGACAGCCTGGTGAGCGCCCTCAGCCCCAGAGACCCAGAGGCCCTGCAGGCTTGTCTTGTCCACATCACACAGCCA